AAGCAAGGGGTCAACGAGGGCCGTGCATCACCAATCGCCGCGGCCTTCAACCGTCGCGAAGACGAGATTGCGACGGCGGGGGCCCGCGCGCGCCCCGTGCCGCGGGATGTCAACAATGTTGCCATGTAGCGGCGTAAATTTGCGGCAATGTTTTGCAGTGCTGCGGTCGCGATGTTCGTCGTCGTCGCCTCGCGCCGGCGCCGTCGGACGAACGGGCTGGGTGCTCCAGGTCGGAGCTCCGCCCGATGAAACCCAGCCGCTCGCTGCGGGGGCCAGGCCCGCCCGGCGACCGCCGTGCCCCCGAGGCCAACCAGGGCCAAGATACTATATGATGAACTCGAAGATCCATGGGGCATCCCCCTGACAGCCTCGAAGACGACGAAGGGGCCCACCTCGGCCTACGGGAGGGCCGCTCCTCGCCCGCCAAATGATCACGAGAGCCGCGGTCACAACGCGCGCGGCGATAGTCCACCTCCACGTCCAAACAGGCGCGCGACAACAGTGACCTAGGAGGCGAAGGTCCACCAGGCCCCATCCTCAGGCACCCCGCTGCCACCCGCGCAGGACAACGCTTGGGCGGGCCCCGCTGGCGGCAGCACGGCCCCTACTGGCCCCCCCGACATGCGCAGCCACGCCCCAGGCCACAACCCTGGCAGCATCGCCATCCTCCTGGGAGAGGATCTGTGCACGGTGGGCGAGGGGTCGCGGACTGCGCCCCAAGGGCCAGCTCCGTCGCCCCAACCCGCTGGGCTTGCCCATGCCGTCGCAAACATCGCCCCCCCCGCGCAATGCTCCCCGCCGCCGGGCAAACCCTCCGCCCCGCCATGGAACGGGGACCGAGGGCCCGAATTCCACCCGCCAGGGTGAAGGCGCCCGAGCGACGCCAGTGCAACATGCCGATCGGAGGCGCGCCCTCGCGCAACGCCTCACTGCCGCCAGGCCACGGCCTCGCCAGGACCGACGCCGCGCTAACCACAAACATCACGCGGCTGCAACTGCGCGCCTCCAGCATCGCACTCACGCTACGCAGCGAACGACCCAAACCCCTTCTCGACAGGTTCCAGCGAGACAGGTTCCAACGGGCACAGTCTCGGTGAAACGAACTCCACAAGGCCTTCCGAGCGCCTGCTTTTCCGAGGGCTTCTTTCCAAGGCAACCTCCAGGCGCGACTTTCTGCTGGGCCTATGGGGCAACCCCTGGAAGGAACACTTTGGGAGAGGAGGAGGAAGGAGGAGAGGGAGGAGAAGAACCAGGAGAAAGGGGAAGAGGAGTAGGAGAGGGAGGAGAAGGAGGAGAGGAGGAGGAGGAGGAGGAGGAGGAGGAGGAGGAGGAGGAGGAGGAGGAGGAGGAGGAGGAGGAGGAGAGGGAAAGCGCCCGGCAACGTGTTTCGTCACCCTGGCGCCGGGCCGCCGAAGGGGATGCCCCAATGCAGCGCCTTCTCTTCCCAGGGCTCCGTTGCGCGCAGGCCAGAGCGCACGTAGAGCCAATGCCTCTTTCTGTTTCAAAAGATGCGTATCGTCCGTGCCGCCACATCCGGATTTTGCCTTACAGTCGGGGTCCGTCATCGGCGGCGCCACATCTTTTGTTGCCACCGCTGCCACGTGCATGCTGCACCTGCCGCCAGCGAGGTGCGGACAGGGCGTGCTGGCAACCTCCGCCTGCGGAAGGACATCGGCCCGCTCCCGTCGGCGCGCTCTCTCTCTCTCTCTCTCTCTAGATTTCTCTTTCTCGCCCTCTTCCTTTTTTTGTGTGTCCCCCTCTCTTTCTGTCTCCTATCTCTTTCTCTCTGTCTCACTGTCTCTCTTTCTCTCTTTCTTTCTCGCTCTCTCGTTCTTCCTCCCTTTCTCTCTCTCTCTCTCTCTCCCTCCCTCTCTCTGCATATTGTTATCATCTCTGCCCTGATTCTGCCCAGAACATGTTCCGTCCTCTCAGCGCATTTCTCATGTCCTAGGGTGAGGTTCTTGTTGTTACTCATACACCCCCGACGCACGTTCTCCTTGTCCCCCTGCCCTCGTCGTCCACGCTCAGACCCATACGCGCTCAGACCCACCCATCATACTCAAATTCATTCGCCCTCACACTCACTCGTACTCGGACTCGTTCACGCGCAGACTCACACACACTCATTCAATGTCAGACTCTCTTGCGCCCACACTCGCTCGCACTCACGCAGACTCGTACGCACTCAGATGCACTCACATTTCGACTCGCTTTCACTCGTACCCACTCGCACTGAAATTCACTCGCACCCAGACTCGATCACACGCATTGCGAAGATCTCTCAGCCGATTTGCTGGCTCCAGCGCCCCAAGAGGAAGCAATAAGGGGTGGTAGCACGGCCCAAACCGCGGCCAGATAGTGGGGATATTTCTAAAGGTGCGTTTGCCAGTTTGGCTGCCCAGACTCGTCTGCGGCCAGGGCAGATAGTGAGGATGCCTCATACGATTTGCTGGTTTCAGCGCCGCGCGGAGGAGCCACCATGGGTGGTTGCACATCCCCGTTCGCAGCCATATGGTGGGGATGCCTGAAGCAGTTTGCCTGCTTGGTGGACCAGATTCTCTTGCCTTCACCGCAGATTCTGGGGATGTCTCAAGCGACTGTGCTGGCACCAACACCCCAGGGGGATGCCGCCAAAGGTGGCTGCACGGCTCCGTCCGCCGCAATATTCAGTGTCTCAAGTTGGTTGCCTGTTCGGTGGCCTAGACCCGTCTGCTTTCAGAGCAGCTTGTGAGGTTGTCTCACGATTTGCTGGCTTCGGCACTCCAAGGGCGAGCCGCCAGGGGTGGTCGCACGGCCCCGTTCACGGCTACATTGTGGAAAAGTCTGAAGCGGTTTGCCTGTTTGGTGGCCCGGACTCCTCTGCTTTCAGTGTAGATTGTGAGGATGTCTCCAGCGATTTGCTGGTTTCAGCGCGTAAGGGTGGCAAGGGGTGGCTTCATTCACCCGTTCGCGGCCAGATTGTGGGGATGTCTGAAGCGGTTTTCGTGTTTGGTGGCCCAAGCTCCTCTGCTTGTAAAACGGATGGTGAGGACGTCACAAGCGATTTGCCTGTTTGGTGGCTCGTCCAGAGCGCGTAGAATCTCTGCGTTTGCTGGTTTGCCTTGCCCGTGTGCGGCCTGTTCTGTCGTGCCGTTCTGCTGTCTTGGAGGCTTCTGGTGGTCTTTCGGGGGGTCCTCAAGCTAGAACTCACTCGTCGATTGAATCGCATCTTTTCGTCCTCCCGGGATTTTGGCCGTCTGCTGCTCACAATGCACTCTGTAACAATTAAGGCTCAAGAGCGAGCGCCTGCTTTCCGGACCGCCGGGCCGGCGCCGTCGGGCGCCATCGTGGAGGCACCACGCGCGCGTGCCTGTGGATGACTTCTGCTGCCCTCGAACACAGATTGCGGGGATGCCTCAAGCGGTGTGCTTGCTTGTGGCCCAGATGCTGGTATTAACACCTCAAGGGTGGCCGCCTGGGCCCGTTCGTACCCAGATTGCTGGTTTGTCTCGAGTGGCTTGCCTGTTTTGGTCCACGTACTTCCTTGTTTTCAGCACATATTGTGAGGATGTCGTTAGCGAGGCGTTGGTTTCAGCACCCCAAGGGGAAGCTGCCAGGGAGCAGATTGTGAGGGTGTCTCACGCGAGGCGTTGGTTCCAGAACCCTAAGGAGGAGCCGCCAGGGCGCAGATTTTGAGGGTGTCTCGAGCGAGGCGCCGAAGGAAAGAGGAGGACGCAGGATGAGGGAGCAGGGAGGAAGGAAAAGGAGAAGGGAGGGGGTACGACGAGGAGGATGGTGAAGAGAAGGGGAGAGGTCGGCTCACTGCCTGTGTGTCTATGAGTTGTTAATAATCGTCGTCGTTGTCCCTACTGGTGGCCGCCCGTCGTCGTCGTCATCGTCGTCGTCGTCGTTGTCGTCGTCGTCGTTGTAGTCACCGTTGTCGTCGTCGTCGTACCAGTGTCCACTCGGGCTCGCTTTCACGCCCAGACGCTCACAATCAAACTCTCACAACGAGACGTGCCAGGCAGTGAGATGCGCATACGGAGATCCACGCGCCGAGAAACTTCAGCACACGCGAAATTCCAATTCGAGCTGGTGTTCGTTACGTGCGTTTCAAATACTTCTAGCGATGCAACGCTGGCCTCATTTCTGCGCCTATGGTCTTTCAGAACCGTGCCCACGCTGCAACGCTGGTCTCATGTCCGCGCGCTCGGTCATTCTGAATGGTGCACCCGCTGCAGCGTTGGTCTCATTTCCACGTTTCTAGTCCTTCCGAATGGTGCTCCCGCTGCAGCGCTGGCCTCATTTCTGCGCTTCGGTCTTCCCGAATGGTGCTCCCGCTGCTGCACCGGCCTCATTTCCAAATTGCTGGTCTTCCAGCATGGATTTCCCACTGCGACGCCAATGCAACCATAGTATGCAATTCAATACTGCGTGATGTACCGCTATTCTGCCATCACATTGATCATCACATGCCTTGCTGTACATTGCTATGATATGCAACGCTGGGCTACGCAATGCCATGCCATGCACATCCTATTTGAAATACCGCTACGCGATGCCATGCCTTGCGTTGCAATGCTATGATGTGTAATGCTTGACTACGCAATGCTATGCCACGCTGCGCATCATGTACCCTTTGGGCATCGTTGTCCTCTTCGACATCCGACTGTGCGAATCGAGAGGGGCAGCAAGCAATGCTATAATAGCGTGGGAGGGATGGGTAGGACATCAGATATGACGCGAGCGCACCTAGCTTGTCTCTCTCCTCCCTCCTCTCTCCCCTCTTCCTCCCTCCTTCCCTCTATCTCTCTCTCTGTGCCGAAAATCTACCTCCGCTTTGAGGGGGCCCCCGCCACCAATCCACACCGAAATAGGCGCCCGACGGAGTCCGGATGAAGGACAGGAGGTCGGTACGGCTTCGTGTGGCTTGGAAGCGCTGGCGAAGGGTCGAAAGTTGTCCCCTGAGCCGTCTGTTGCATCGTGGTCGCGCGAATGCCGCCGACCCTCCCCGCACGCACCTGTACCAGAAGGATGCGTAGATGAACGCTGCCATGGTCATCCCGGCCCAGAGCACCAGCCTGTGAGAGAGCTGCGGCCTAAAGGAAAAGGAGCAGCAGCAGGATGGAATACACCCTGCGAAATGCTTAAGAAATCATGGGTTCAGAAATTCATAGTCTCAGAAATTGAATGTAACCCAGAACTTCTATCAAAATCTTGGGATTTACATTGAAAAATTAAGAATAATCGAGACTCTGGACGAAAACTTAGGTTTTCTTAAGCATCGCATAAGGTGTAGATGCTCCGACCGCCGACGCTGCAGCTGCACGCAAGCTTCGATCTTGATTCCGCCGCTCTCGTGCTCATGCAACCCGCTGCCAGCGCGCCCCTCCGACTCGCTCCGCCGTCGGCGCAACCCAACGTACGGATAGTGCCACTTTCTCATCGGAGCGCAAGCCCTCAGCTGGCAAACTTTGCAGGGATGGTTTCTCGACCGCCCCTCCTATCAGAGTCTCGATCCACCGGAACTTTACATGCAAGACGCTCACCTGAGAAACCTCACTTCTATCCTAATGCGCCTAACCCACTGGCCTCCGGTCTACCTGGGCCTGGCCCCGAACTGGAGCATCGGGGATTTAGGCCTACACGCGCCGATCGTCACCATCGCTGCTGTTCAAACGCCTCGCCCACCGACGTCCGTCTCCACCTGGCCAGGGACCGAACAGGGGCAACGGGCAAGGAGCACACACATGCCGACCGTCACCGCCGCTGCTGCTCATAAGCCTCGCCCGCCGACATGCGTCTCCACCAGGCCCAAGACCGAGACGGTGCAATGGGGGGAGCAACGGGAAAGCAGACCCATATACGACGATCGTTACCGCCGCTGCTGTTCACACGCCTCGCCCACCGACACCCGTCTCCACCTGGCCTGCGACCGAGCTGGCGCAACGGGGAGGCTGGCCCATACATGCTGATCGTGACGGCCGACCCTGCAATTACGTCACGCCCACTGGCGTACGTCTCCACCTGGTCCGCTGGCCCAGGACCGAGCCAATGCAGCAAGGACCCTTTCCTCCGACTGTGCATTTCACATGATGGGTACCTCGGCCCATTCCCTGGTGCCGTGCTTTCATCAAGCAGACGAGCTGAACTGGGGCCAGGTTGTTGTGAGAGCTCGTTCTCGCCGAGAGAACGGCGCCCAGAGACTTCCTCCATCTTCGGAGGAGGTCTGGAAATTTCGCCTGAGACATGCTTGAAACTCTGACCTGCGGGATGCCGCGCGCGAGGTGGTCCGGCTAATTTTGCCAGAGACATCCTGGCAACTCTGGGCTCGGAAATGCCGCGAACGAGGTGGTCCGCCCCGTTTCTCCTGAGGTCCTCGCAAATCTGGGCTTATAGATGCCACGCGCGATGTGGTCTGGCCAATTTCGCCTGAGATATCCTGGCGTCAGAGATGCCGTGCACCACATGGTCTGTCCAATTGTGCCCGATATATCCTCGCGACTCTAGGCTCCGAGATGCCGCGAGCAAGGTGGTGCGGCCAATGTCGCCTGAGGAATCCTGGCAACTCTGGGCTCGGAGATGCCTCGCACGAGGTGGTCCAGCGAGTTTCGCCTGAGACATCTTGGCAACTCTTGGCTCGGAGATGCCGCGCGCGAGGTGGTCTGGCCAACTTCGCCTGAGACGCTCTCGCAACTCTGAGCTCCGAGATGCCTTGGCGCGAGGTGGTCTGGCATCTTTAGCTGAGACTTTCTCGCGCCTTGAATTCCGAAACGCCGCACGCCAGGTGGTCCAGCTCAGAGAAGGCGCGCGCGAGGTGCTCGTTTTTTTTTTTCGCCAGGTACAGCCCAGCAACTCTGGACTCCAAAACACCTCGCAAGGTGATCCGGCCCGCGTCTCGCCAGAAACAGCTTCGGGCCCAGAGATGCCGCACGCAAGGTGGTCCAGCCTGTCCGTCTCGCGTGACCGGCCTGTCTCGCGTGACAGCCTCACAACTGCACTCATCGCGCTACCACTGGGAATCCAGAATCAGGAACGAAGGTGATTTTCTGGCCATGGCGAGCTTCAGCCACGAACGTGTTCCCTGGCATAAACCTGATGAGCGGCCAGGAAACCAAAGCCCCTCCAGAGCCCGAAATAGTTCTTATTTTTGCGACTTGAGTCTTTACCGTAACCTCGCCGCGCTGCCATGCGGAACGCTAATCAAGGAACCCATTCACTGTTCTGGCGGCGAAAGCCTCGGCCACAAGTAGGCTCCCCGGCCTAGATCTCAGAAGCGGCTCGAAGACCAGATCCCCTCCTGAGCTCGCACTCAAGCCATGCGCCGTCTGGTGCGTGGGCAGGGAAACACGCTCAGCTCAGCCTGCAGTGCAAGGAGGAGGATGAAGAAGAAGACCAAGTAAAGTTGGAGGGTGAGGAGTAGGAGGAGGAGGAGGAGGAGGAGGAGGATGAGGAGGAGGAGGAGGAGGAGGAGGATGAGCCCCTCCTGAGCCCAGTCCTTATTTCAGCGGCTTGGCTGTTTGGGTTTCGAGAGGGAGGACCGAGGGAGGGATTGGGGAGGAAGGGGGAGGAGGAGGCAGGAGAGGTCAGGACCAGACACCCAGATTGATCACACTTCTGGTGTCGAATTGGTCTGCGGGGTGAGGTCCGGGCGCCCCTGACCTGGGGGAGTACGCAGCCGCCGCTGAGGCGAGAGTACGACCCCTGGGCAAACTGCAAGGAAGTCCCTGGCTGGAGCGCCATGTCTGAGAAGAGATCGATGCGGCCTCGGGTGAAAGGGCGCGGCGAAGGGTGACGCCCAGGTAGGTTGTCGGGAGGTCTCAGGCTGGAGCGCCATGCCTGAGCAGGCCGTGGGGAAGTCACGAGGCCAGAGCGCGGCAGGGACGGAAGCGGGAGGCTGTGGGCAAGTGGGGAGAAGGCATGGGGGGAGGAGTGAGGGAGGATGGGCCGTCGAGGAGGGATGAGGTACGATGGGGGAGGGCGGGGGGAGCAGAAAGCCAAGCGGGGCCAGGCCCAAACGACTAGTGTAATCCTGGTGCCGAGCTGTGCTTTCCGGGAGGGGGTCCATGCGTCCAGGCGCTCCTGGCCCGAGAGAGCATGGCGCCGGAGCCGAGGCGAGAGCACTATTCCTGGGTAAAGTGCAGGGGGCTCTCAGTCGGGCAAGTCTCGAGCAAGAGCGCGGCATGGAGGAAAGAGTGAGGCTAAGGAGGAGGGAGCACGCATGAGGGATGGGAGCAAGAGGGAGGAGGGAGGCGGGGACAGACCCAGACGACGGATTCGATTTCACTTCTGGCACTTGACCAGATGTGCTCTGGGAGGGGGTCCGACCGCTCCTGGCCCTGGGGAGAATGTGGCCAGCGCTGAGGCGAGAGCACGATCCCTGGGTGAATCTTTGGGCAGGATCTCCACGCCTGAACAGATCTTGCAATCTCGAGCGAGAGGAGGAGTGAGTACGAGGAGGAGGAGGAAGATGAGGGAGGGAGGATGAGATCCAGTCGGATGAGGGCGGGGAGAACCAGGATGACGAGGAGGAGTAGGATGAAGAGTAGCATGAGCATGATAAGGAGAAAGAGGAGGCGGAGAAGGATGAGGAGGAGGAGATGAGGAGGAGAAAGAGGAGCAGAACGACGACGACAACGACGACAAATACTGCACGGACGACGACAACGATGACGAGAGGGTGACAGCAGATGAGGAGCAGGAGGACGACATGACCCGCAGGACGCGCCAACAATCTCCCGAGCCAACTTAGCTCGAAAAGCGCTACTCGGGTATGCTGGGCTCCGGCGCTACATTTAGTTGACGGCCCTGGGGCCTGGCTGCGTCTTGCAGCAGCACAGCGTATAATCACGGGGGGCGCCCAGGAGGAGGGTCAGCAAATCATGACCCGAGGCATGGGCGCTGACAAAGGGGGGTCAGGGGTCGTGTTGCAAGCAGAAGAGGGGGCCATGAAATCCGTGGAGATTTTATGGCCCCGGCCAAACATCCCCCCCCCCTCAGTCGTACCCCCCCCTCTTGGCTGCCCCCGAAGTCAGCCGCCACATTTTTTGTCTTGTGACGCCAGGGCCTGACTGGAGGACGGCCGCCGCGCGTGCCGAGACCGCCGCCGCCTACCGCCGCCGCTGGTCGCCGCCGCGGCCGTCGTGCGGGCTGGCCCGTACATGAACCAGGCCGACCAGGGATGGCTGCAGGCCCACTCCACGGGGTCGGAGGGCGTCCTGAGAGGAGGGGGGGGGGCGTGGCCGCGAGGGGAGGCGAGAGGCGAGGCGGTGCCCCAGGCGGGTCGGGTCGGATGAGGGGGGAAGGGGGCAGAGGGAGGCTCGTGAATCGGCTTACGTGATTGCGCGAGGTGGCATGGCTGGACCTTCAAACATGGACCAGGAAGTGAAATGGGAGACCTGGCGGGGCTGTGGCACCTAATGTAGTGCTTTCGCCCCCTCCTCCCCAAGCCCCGTGCTTCCAGTGCCCTGTGGGCACCGGCCCCTCCAGGCACGTTGCGGCAATCTTTGGATGGGAACCTCCTGGCGCCAGAAGCGCCAATATGAAGTGGACCAGAAAACGGGACAATCATACTTTCGCGGAAGTCCGCTCGGATTTTCTTGGACTGCCGCTGGGCCCCCCTCCTTGGCGCGAGGAGTGCGCCAGGGGCGGCGCCAGAGGTGCCGCCAGGGGTCCCAGCGCCGATGCACGAAATCTGCGCGAAGCGCGCCAGGGGCGGCGCCAGAGGTGCCGCCAGGGGTCCCAGCGCCGATGCACGAAATCTGCGCGGACCCCAGAGAACTTCTGCGTATGCCGTTGTCCGTTGTTCGAGCCACTGGGCTGCATCAAAGAACACGCCTAGCGGCGGAGCCGAAACCAGCTGCATGCAGCGAATTTCGCAGCCCGCCCTTCCCTATCCTTACGCTTGGCGCTGGACAGACAGCGTGCAGCATCGATCTCCGAAACGCACGCCTATCCCTGTGAGGCAATCCCCCGCGATTGGCCCTTCTGTGTGCGAGCTTTCTCCCTGCCGGGGCTTCGTCGGCGGGGGATGGTGTGCGATGAACTGGCCAGCGGCGCCACATCGCACGCTGTCTTCCCAGCGCCAGCCGTCTCCTGGGGCGCACTCTTAGCAGGATCTCGATAGGAAGCCAGCCACAGGGCCCCCCCTGAGATCCGACGTTGCAAACAAAACATTGCCAAACATCGCGACGAGAGCCCTAGAACCAATATTTCTGCATCATTTTTGGAGCCGGATCGATCTGTGAGGGTTCGGGGCCCGAAGTCAAGCTAGAGCGCCCGTTGTGAAAGAATGGTGCCGCCAGGATCTCCCGGTAGGGGCCCCCATGGGACCTAAAAGGTGAACCAAAGGGTCACGAGCAGGGTGCTGGGGCCACAGTTTGGGGAGACGTAAGACCCGGGTACGGGGGACTCGGAAATCCCCGACGAGGTCGTCAAAAAAATGACGAGGCCGAGCCTGCATTTTGACGAGGCCTCCCGCTGCAGACATCCCACGAAACTCCTCCTCGTCAAAATCCCAGGCGCGGTCGTCAAAAAAAGATGACGAACCCGAGTCCCGGCAAACCCGGGTCTTACGCTCCCCCGAACAGTGTGGGCGCGGCCTCCGCGGCGCCAGCGCTCCGCAAGCGGGCGGGGGAGGTGGAGGGGCGGCATGCCAGGACCGCGGGGTGAAAGTAGTGCACGCATCCTCGCAAGCTGGCGGCGCGCGGGGGCGCGGGTGGGGAGAGGGGTAACCTGGAAATCCTGGCGTGACAATTTCTGTCGCACCACGTGGTTTCGCGTGAGGTCCGGCCCCCCGGACTCTCACAGATCGATCGGGCTCGAAAGCTGCCACAGAAAGATGAGGTCTAGAGCTCCGGTTGTGGTTTTTTCACGACTTTGAATTTTGTCGCAACGTAGGATCTCAGGGGATGAGGGAATAGCAGAAGAGGAAAGGGGAGGAGAGTGGGTAGGGAGGCAGAAAAAGCCTCCTACATCCTTCTGGGCTCCTCCTCCTCCTCCTCCTCCTTCTCCTCCTATGGTGAGGGGCGGGACTGGGGGGAGGAGTCGGTGGGCATGCGGAAAACAGCGGGTGCAGGAGGACGCTCAAGATGTGGGGGCGCAGAATTGACTTCTGGTCTTGCAAGCAAGGGCGCACACATTCCCCACCTTCCGTCTGCCGCGATGCTGTCCTCAGCTTCGTAGGAGGAAGAGGGGGGAAGACAGGGTAGGAGGAGAGGTGGGATGAGGGGGTCGGATGAGGATGTAATCTTATTTCTGCTCAGAGATCCGATGCCTTTTTTCCATTACGTGTTCCCAGGAATCCCAACCCCTTCCCCTGGACTGGCTTTTCACTCGGAATCATTGTCTGATAGTCCCAGGTCCCAATAAGCAGAAAACTATCGATGATGATATTTTGTGTTTATGTCATGACCCGTCGGGCTTCCTGGTAGAATCCCTGCCAACTTAAACCCCCCAGACCGGGGCACACGAGGATGGTAATACGGACTTGAATGCGTTTGAGGATCTCAGCGCTACTGTCATCGCCATCATTGCCATCTCCCCCCGGCCCGCTTCCTCATATCCTGGCCGCGGAGGTGAAGTCTTGCCAAATTCGCGAACGCTCGCCTTAGACACAGCTTGCAGCATGACTCTACGCTCTTTGCCATGCTCCCCATCATGATGACTCATCCCTCTGCTCCAGCGGCTGCCGGTGTAGTCCACCAGTCCTCATGATAAGGCAACCTCGTAAACGCTGCACGTCGAGGCACATTGACGCTCAGGAGATAAGGAGCAATGCCAATGTGCACGAAACGTCTGGCTGAACAATGACCCGTTGTATGCGCAAGGTGAGTGCGTCCGGGTGGTCCCAGAATGCCTGCGGACCTCCAGGGGGCTCCCCCGAGGGCATGGCAGGTGTGCGAGGGCCCAGGACTTCAGCTTCATTCTCATACAGTCGGGCCGCTGAAAGAAGGAACGCTAAATAAGGAACGAAGCCCCTTCTTGGCCCTGTAAGCGCCTCCGTGCCCCAGGAGGGCAAGAGGAACAGCACTGGAGGAACCCAAGGAACATCGAGCCCCTTCCGAACCCAAACTGTTCCTTATTTCAGCGTCTTGACTGTATCCCGACGAAGGCAGGCACAAGTACGCCCCCGATCCTCCTGAGCGGACCACCTTTCGCAAATTCGGGTCGCAGCACGCACACTGGTCAAAGTAGTAAAACATGACCGCATCACCAGTGGCTCTGCTTCGTCCTCAAGGCACTGGTGCGGACATGGCTTCTTCGGTGCCCGGACAAAAAGTGTCCACACCCATGGCGGGACGGCGATGCAACATGATCCGTCGACCCCCTTGTGGGGCCACAAGGCTGTAGGGCGAAGGTTCGCAGTTTCCTGTGCCAGTTGCAGCTTCCAGTTTCCACTGTTACAATTCTGCTTCTTGCTGCTTACTGTTCTTTGTTGATGGACCGCGCGAAGGGGGGGAGGCCCAAAACGGGGATTTTTACCACGCCCTCAGCGTGTGCTCTGAATTGCTGGGGCGGGTAAAAATTCACACCCCTCACGCAGATCGGCGGGGTCAGGGTCCAAAATCACACGGGATTTGCAACATTTCTGACATTCGGTGGCACCCCTTATGCAGATCGGCCGGGTCAGGGTTTAAAAACACTAAGGATTTGCTACATTTCTGACATTCGGTGGCACCCCTCACGCAGATCGGCGGGGTCAGGGTGCAAAAACATACATCGCATTTGCAACATTTCTGACGTTCGGTGGCACCCCTCACGCAGATCGGCGGGTCAGGGTCCAAAAACATAAAGGATTTGCCACATTTCCGAAATTCGGTGGCACCCCTCACGTAGATCGGCGGGGTCAGGGTCCAAAAACATAAAGGATTTGCTACAATTCTGAAACTCGCCGGCACCCCTCACGCAGATCGGCGGAGTCAGGGTCCAAAAACAAAAGGGGTTTGCCACATTTCCGCAATTCGGTGGCACCCCTCACGCAGATCGGCGGGGTCAGGGTGCAAAAACACAAAGGATTTGCTATAATTCTGAAATTCGCTGGTACCCCTCACGCAGATCGGCGGGGTCAGGGTCCAAAAACACAAGGGGTTTGCCACATTTCCGAAATTCGGTGGCACCCCTCACGCAGATCGGCGGGGTGAGGGTGCAAAAAGCACAAAAAGGATTTGCTACAATTCTGAAATCCGGCGGCACCCCTCACGCAAATCGGCGGGGTCAGGATTTGCCACAATTCTGAAATTCGGAGGTACCCCTCACGCAGATCGGCAGGGTCAGGGTCCACAAACACAGGGGATTTGCCACATTTGTAAAATTCGGCGGCACCTTTCACGCAGATCGGCAGGGTCAGGGTCCAAAAAGACAAGGGATTTGCCACATTTCTGAAATCCGGCGGCACCCCTCACGCAGATCCGTAGGGTCAGGGTCCAAAAATACAACGGATATGCCACATTTCTGAAATTCGGTGGCACCCGTGACGCAGATCCGTAGGGTCAGGGTCGAAAAAACAAACAGGCCCCGACACTGCTTCACGGCGGCACCCAGACCTCATGACTTAGCTTTTGCATCTCCCATTATCCGAGACAGGGGGCCGGCGGCATGGGGCCAAGTCCTTACGGATAACAATCACAACTGCGAAATGCCCTTGCTTCGCACCTCATCCACGCCAAACCCAAAATTTAAGTGTCCACATTTCGTCGCTGGCCTTTGGCCTACCGCCTGAACCCGTCAAGTTTGAATTTAGGGGAGGGGGGTATACATGTTGGTCCGACGTACTTTAAGAATTCAAGGTCTTGGCGAGAGACGTGTGGACATTTTTCGTCCACCCACTGTTGTTCTATGTATTATTCAAAGCGGCGTCTGAGATTAAAAGCGCATCCCGTGGCATACTCGCTTATGTTTATTACATACATACATATATCTACTCATTGTTGTACCACATGTGTATGTATATACATACATATATGTGTGTGGGGGTGCACGCAAACCTAGGGCCGCGTGCAGGGCGCGTTGGCCACGTCGGTCCGCATGCGCGAGCGCATGCCAGCGTAGAAAGGCGTGCGTGTGCGTGTATAGCGTCCGCGCTTACATGAATTACCAATGCAGGCGCATGGGCAAATTCAGCAGCATGTTTCAGGCACCCGCGTAGTGGAGTGCATCCGCGTGCTCTTGACAGTGGACGATTCGCTTCTGGTCTGCGCTCCATACCCCGTTCGATATCGGTCCCTGGGCCCATCCCGCGCACTATCATGAGTTTCGTTTGGGCCCAGCTCCGCCGCGGAGACGAGGCGTCCCCCCGCGGTCCAAAACATACACCAACGTGCTGCAAGGGGAGCGACCCCGAAACTGGGCAACGCAAGGTATAGGGTCAGGTGGCGCTGGCAAGACAGAGCGCGCGGCCGGCCAGCGCAGAGGCCGCCTGCGCCGCACGGAAGAAGAGCGGGGGCATCGAGGCGCCAGTGCCCAGGAGCCACGCTGTCCACGACAGCTACGCCCCGTTGCAAACGCATGGTGCGCCGCAGGCTCTGGAGGTGGCGCTGACCTGAGCTGGAGGAGGGCCAGCTGAGACAACGGCGGCTCTCGCGCCTGGACCAGACCCGCTCAAAATCGGTGTCCGGACCCCTCCCAGGGTCCATGTTGAGACGATGCTCGAAATGTAGCACGTGCGACGCCAGGGCGGGCGGCCCGCCCACCCATCTCCCCTAGGGGGGTGCGAGGCCCCTGTGGGCGGGACGTGGTGAGCATGGAAGGGCACCGTAAGCCTTTCACAAACCAAAGGTGGGCACCATCGGCCTACCGCCACCAACTGGAGATACCACCACATGTCCTCCACCCTGCATGATTCCATTCAACGCTCATTGGATTTTCAATTTTGGTGCCTCCGCGTCTCTCCAGCCGTGGCCACGCGTCCGCCAGGAGGCCAAAGAGGACGAAACGCGCCAGGGAGGGCCGCCGTTGCCTCAACTGGCCCTGCTCCGGTTGACCCCGGCTACACGCACGAGTGACCCCGGGCAAAGAGTGACCTTGGTGCGCGACGTTCGGGGGGCGCGTGGAGGCCAAATCCGAGCGCGCAAAGCATTGCTGTCGCATCGCTTTCAGCCATCTGGGGACCCCGGTGAGCCCGCACCAAAGGCCAGTCTGGCGAAAGGTCACTTTTACGTGTAGCCGATACCCCCTTGTCTGCTACGTTGCCCCCTGACTTTCAAATCATATAACTCGGCTCCCTGGCGGCAGTCCAATACGATCCGGGCAGCCCCTGGGACGCCCTCTGCGAGGCGCAACTGCTGGAAAGCACCCCGAGGCCAGAAAACCGCGGAGAACCGACGAACTCCCCCGAACACCTCGAGCCTCGACCTGGCACCCAGACATGCTCGCGTCGCGAACAAGTCAGGACAGGAGGCTTTTCGCACTTTCTCCGCCTCTGGAGGCCCTCGGCGGGCCCCGGGACCGCCCGGACACGACCCAGGATGGAACACGGGTCCTGCGGAAAGGGCCGGGACTCCCGGAGACCGCGCACCGAAAGGACGCCGCAGGCCTGGACCTGTTGGCGGCGCGCACAAGAAGGGGGTGGGGGGAGGGGGATGGGCTTCTCAGAAGCAGGCTGCTTCTCAGAAGGCGCCGGCCTCACATCTATAGAGAAGGCCGCGCCTTCTATAAGAAGTAAGGGGTGCTTCTAAGAAGCCCTCCCCCTCCCCCCACCCCCCTCCCAGACCCCCTCGGGTAATGAAAAATTCATGACGGGAGGTTTTTCACCATTTTCGGCCTCCAGGGACCCTCACCGGGCCTCGGGAGCGTCAAAAAACGACTCAGGGTGACAAACCGGTCCTGGGGAAGGGGTCGAGAACTCTGGGGTCGACGAAATGAAAAAATCATTACGTCGGGGGTCTGGGCTCTGCGCGTGCCTGGACCTCCTCCGGCCTCCTGCGCGCGCGCCGCCGGGCCCGAGCCGCACGCGGCCGCGGTGGGGCCAGATCGGGCGCTGGGCGGCCGGGGCGCCCGCGCGCGGAGCGAGGAGACGTACGGCACGCCCGTCACGGAGTCGCAGTAGCTCGGCAGGGAGTCGATCTGGTGCTGGCGGCGCGGCGCCGGGCGCGCCCGAGCCAGACGCCCTCGCCGCCCGAAGGAAGCACGACGGGCGACGCTTCGCTGCTGCCTGCGGGGGCCCCGTGCTGGGCCCCGCGGGGCCGTCGGAAGCCACCCCAGAAGCAAGCAGCGGTCCCAGGCAACGGGTCCAGACGGCTGGGGGTGGACGCCGTGGAGAAGTCTCGACGTCGCGGGCTCTGGGGAGCACGCGCGCGTGCCAGAGCCCGGCCCTGCCCGAGCAGAGCGGCGAGCAGCGCCGAGCCCGGCCAGGCTGCAGCACGCACTCCGGGCAAGGCATCGCGCAGCCGACCGGGCAGCGCCGAGATGAGGCCAGATTCGTACGGGCGCTGCGTGAGGCTCTTTGTAGCGCCCTCCTCCCCGTCCTTTTTCCTCCACCTCCGGGCTTTCCTCGGCCTTGCTCTCCTGGAGTGGCCACCCGTGACTCGAGACCCCCTGGCCTGTCCTCGGTGGGCCACGCAGACATCGTGCTACCGGACGCTGAATAAGGATGAATAAGGAATGAAGGGGCCTGTTTGGCCACGTTGAGCCTCGGCCGCGGATAGGTTACTCGACCCAGATCTAAGGAACGGCCTCAAAATCATAGCCCCTCCTGAGGCCAAAGTGGTCCCTGCTTAAGCGTCTTGACTGTAGAGACATACCTGATTGAACTTGAAAGAGAAGGAGAGAGAGAGAGAGAGAGATAGGTAGAAACAACACACAAAGAGAGAGAGAGAGAGAGAGAGAGAGAAATAACAAACATCGAACAGGGCAATAATTATCTGGTCCGTTGGCCTGCTGAACGCGACGCGTGAGAAGCAGCCGATTGAATGCACCGCACCGCCCTGGCACGCACCACCGTGGGCCCCGAGCCCTGAGAGCACCAGCAGCGCGACGGCGGCGCAGGCGCGCACAATCCAGTGCGGCCGCTCGGTGACATGCCACATGGCCAGCTCCCACGACCATGTGCCAAGACTTGGCGGCGAGCGAGGGGGGGAGGTGAGAAGGAGAAGGCCTCCTCAGAAGGCGGCGGGACTTCTCAGAAACCCTCGCGCCTTCTGAGAGATTTGTTCTGTCTTCGGGGACGGTTCAGAAAACTCCTCAGAAGGCCGGGGGGGCTTTTGAGCCTTCTGAGAAGGCCTTCTCCTTCTCACTTCCCCCACTCGCTCGCCGCCGATGGTGAAATGCCACATGGCCAGCTCCCAAGACCATGAGCCAAGACATGTTGCCATCTCTTTGGGGCGCATTGTTTACCTTCGCCGGCCTTCCGCCGCCGCCTTGCTTCCGCCGTCCTCCGCATGGGGATGAGATGTCATCTCCTCGATTCCCGATCCCTCGAAGACGAGGCCCCTGCTGGATCGGCAAGCGCACGGCTGGAGAACACAAGAGTAGAAGGCGATCCCTCCCGAGCGGCGGCGCCTTCGCTGCGTCCAAAACCTCCTGCAAAAGCCAGAAGCTGAGAACCAGGAAGGAAGCATGGGACACCGCACGAGCGCGAGCATACGCCAGATGCTGCAACGAGCAGCAACAAACCATGCCAAAACTGCGCATCGTCTACCCGAGGCCATGTGATACTGCGTCTCCTCTCTGTGGTCACTTGGCAACGATGTCCGTCTGACCTGCTAAATCCTCTGTCCGTTGCCTACTGTGAGAAGTATCGAAACGGACTTCGAGTGTGATTTTTCCCATAGCGATCTGAATCATGATCTGGACACGGATTCAGGGGATGTCGCTAATCCTGATGCCTGAGCACAAGTGACATGGCGGCATCACCCGAATCAAACTGCAAACGCGCTCACGCACACACACATACATTCAAACACGCACAGACACACGCACACTCACACACACACACACACACCGGGATGTCCCCTGAGGCCTCCCGAGCAGAAATTGGCGCTGCCACCCGAAGGTGCGACGCAAACCCATGCGAACATTGAATCACATAAGTGGGCCAACACCTTTCATACAACACCACGGGAAACTTTGGACTATGCAGACTAAGACGTTTTTTGCACCACCTGGCTCTACTGAGCGCTATGCGACAACTCAAACTCGCACTGCACCCGTGAATCGGAACGCAATTGAAGCGACAGCGTCTACGATTGTGCAAGGCAGCGAACCAGATGATTATGAGATGTGCCAAACTCATGGGAACTATTGTTTAACTTGCCCACTTATTCAGAACTGAACAGCGTCAACAATCGCGACCTGCCAGCGTAATTCAAAAACGGATACGTCCAGGACGGAGGCTCGACAAGATCAACGCCGAACAACTCGCTCACCAATCGGCCTGCCATCTATCACGATGGCCCACCCAGTGAAATCACCGAAATGAGAAATAACGCCAAGGGGGACCCGCCCAGGGTGGGGGGCCCCATCGAGCTGGAACGGCCGATACATCGCCGATGTGTCGGCGAAAAGTCCCTGATAGCGAGATCGTACATATCCTGAGCAGGGTGGACCATCGGGCCCCTATCGGCGATCCATGGGCCAGCGGGGGTCGATGCGCTCCCCCATGAGCCGACGGCCAGGATCGTTTGCTTATGCAGCGTGTCGCGGCGGTGGCCCCGGCGACACGCTATGCCTTGCAAGCGGACCGCATGTCGCTCCGCTGCGCGGGGCGGGAGGCTCGGAAGCGCTCGGGGCGCTGACAATTGGGGATTGCGGCGTGCTTGACGTGTCGCGCCGAAGCGTGGTGGGCCAGTTCCCGACAATAATCATTGTAAGAAAGTCGAGCGCGCGCACGGAAATACGACGCGCTCGTCGCCGACGCCGTCGGGGGGCGTGAGCGTGGGAAGCACTGAGAATCTCAGACCCTGCGGGAACGCGGACCTGCCGTAGATCAGTGCGTTCCCTTGAAGCGCCGCCCACACTACGGCACAGTCGAGACATGGCCACAGGAACGCGGGGCAAGAACATGATCACTCCGCCCAGATTGCCCGATGGTTGGGGTCCCAAACCAATGTGGTGACAGACCGTGCGGCCACCTCGAAATTCGAAGGACGTCACCGCACGGTTTTGAGACACTGGAGGCCCCGATCGTCCGACACATCATCGGACAACGACCCAAGTCCCAAAAACCGTGCGGTCACCCCGAATCCCCACCGACTCACCACACGGTGTGGTCACCGCACCGTTTGGGGTATCCCCGAGATGGGGATGCCCCAAACGAAGAACGTTCCAGGGTGGTGATCCCGAGCGCGACTAACAGAACAATACACTTCCAAAGCGGGGACTGTTCTTGGCCCTCGCGCCAGCAACGCAATCCGCTGGAAATCGACCGACGCTTCAACCGACTCCCACATCGTGCTGAGAAAGAGCGGCACGCAGCCGGTACCTAACACGTGGTGAGCACGGAAATTCCATGGCTTTGGAGCGCCCCAGCCCAGCCTCCCACTGCCAAGGACGGAGCGCCGAGATCGCCCACGAAGGCGTCCTCCTCCTGCTGCCCCCCAGCCTCCTCCTCCTCTTCCTCCTCCTCTTCCTCTTTCTCCTCTCCTCCTCAAGTTCCCCCTCTCCTCCTCTGCCTCCTCCTCCCTCCTGGTCCCTTCTCATCCCCGATTCTTTCTCTCCCGCCTCCCTCCCTCCCTCCCTCACTTCCCCAAATCCTCCTTCCCTCATCCCTTCTCGCTTCTCTGTGCACCTCCCTGCGCTCTCCTGCTCCTTCTCCTCCTCTTCCTCCTCCTCCTCCTCCTCCTCGTGCTCGTGTTCGTCCTCGTCCTCGTCCTCGTCCTCGCCCTCGTCCTCCTCCTCCTCCTCCTCCTCCTCCTCCTCCTCGTCATGTTCGTAGTCGTCGTCGTCGTCCTCCTCCTCCTCCTCCTCCTCCTCCTCCTCCTCCTCCTCCTCCTCCTCCTCCTCCCCTCTTTCCTGCGCCGTCCTCTTCGTCCTCATCCCTCCTGCGCTGCACCTGGGAGCAAGCTCGAACCCTCCCCGCGCGTCTC